CCAATAGCACAAAAATGCATTTAAAAGCAGAGCCAGAATTACAGGAAATATAATGCATGCTAATGAATGCATAAGGACCAGGCTACGCTCTCCCTTTCAAAATAGGTATTTATGATTAAACAAATCCAGCACACCTGCCCTCACACAAAAGGCAGCCTCCCTCTCACCTCCCCCCGTTCACAGAGAACGGCTTAGGGCTGAAACAACAACAAAAAGCAAGACACTAACTAATCTTCCGGATCCCAAACCATCCGAGGTCTATCCGGTGGATGGTTCTTCGGAGAGCGCATCCATCTGGGAGGCTCACCGCAGAGCCTGATCGGACCACAAGGTTCTCTGATCTAGGATGTAAACGTAACAACTTGTGTGTATCGTCCATGAGCAAACCAGGAGCAGCAGGACATCACGTAAAGATAAATAAATAAAAAAATGCACTGCGGCTACAACTTAGTTTGCTAGTTCAACAATGCGCATGCAGTAGCGCGCACAAAGAAGGGAGCTGCCAAAAGAGGAACGTGCACGGCCGGCTCTTACCGTTTGTCGATCATCCGTCACGAGCCCCCACACACCCGCGGCTCACTACTTGGGCGTCCCGCGCGCAGGCAGCCGGGGCGCCCGGAATGACACGAGACAGCCCTACACCGCGTGCAGACCGGATGGATGGATGTTAATTGGATGGTGCGGGTGGCGGTGTGTGGGGGTGAGGCGCAGAAAGGACAAGACATCGGAGAGAGGGGATGGGTTTGGGGGGGTGGAGCGGGGTCCCCCCCCCCCCACCCCCCAAAACCTTCCGGGAGTTACCCCAGGCGTGGAAACACTGGTGTGCATCCTCATCACCTCGCGCAGCTTATGCCCATCTTCTTCTTCGCGGTGAGAAATCAAATCAAATTTCAAATGGGAAAGGACTGATAGGGAGTTCTTCGGGAATATTTCTTTCGGGGTGTCGCACCCCCCCCCCTCTCCCCCCCCAACCCCCTTCTTCACCTCATCGAGAGTCCGCCGATTCAGCAGCACGAAAATACCAGACGGGGAGCTCGGAGCCATGGCGGAGGAAGAGCAGGAGGGGGAGAAGGGGGGCAGCTTCTTGTCACTGTTTCCGCGTCCAGGTTTCCTCGGTAGCAACTAGTATCCTCGTTTACTGGTCCGTTTTATTACAGCTGGGCGTAAATTTCCTCCCCGGTTATTCCGGCTACGCTCATCCGCCTCGCCACAGCGCGAGCACCGAAGCCAGGAGGAGTAGAGGCGGGCTCCTCGGGCCGGAGCGGATCGCAGCAGCAATATAGCCACTTGGGAAATCATAAAAAGTTCATGTTCACGTTAAGCGCGTCCACATGACCAGCCCGTCGGCCAATCCCTGCGCGCGGCCACTCATAAACTTGTATCACAAAGTTGTAAATTTTCATGAAACAACAAGGAATATTGCATTTCTTCATGGAGCCCTGCTAGAGGGGGGCTAGTGCTCCTTTTCTGCCATTCTTTCTGCCGCCATTTTCCTCTCATTCTTCTTCTTTTTGGTCGTCTTCTTGTTCCTCTTCTTTTTTTGCCTTCTTATCCACCCCAGCTAGCGACACACAGAAGAAATCCAGTATTTTCCCTTTCCGTTAAACTATATCTTAATACCTCGGGTTCTGTAAGGTGTGGAAGGCTGGTTTATTTATTGGATGTGCTATATGAAGGTTGGAAACGTGTTTCAAAATGTATTTGAGCCACATAATCAAACAAAAAGGTTATTATAAAGGTTATAGTAAAAAAAAACGGAAAATATCTGGCGTCGTGAATTAGGAAGAGCGCCGTATTTTAATCATCTTCATGTCACGCAGAATGAAGGTGACTGGATGAAAGAATCTCCGAGGTGAATTTGTGACTATGCGCCACCATAGGGAAAGATACGGGCTTTGTTTTCAAAATAAATGATACAATAAATGTTCCCATGGAAACATGATATTCCAAAGATGACTCGTTATTTCTTAATCTATTAATGGCAGGCTCCCGATGGATGTAGGCCTAATTGTGCCCGCGTTGTTTGCTTCTTTTCGAGGGGGAGCACGGTTGCAACAAGGGTGCCGTGATGTCCATTTTGGAGTAGCCGCAACCAACTGAGCGGCGGCGTGGGCCTGAAGAGCCTTGCGTAAAAACGGTTTCGCATTGCGGCAATGCGTCACCGTTTTAACGGCCCTGCAGGCCCCGGAGCCACGGGAGGCTCTCAGATACGCTACCGACGCACACTGCAGCGATTGTGCCTCACTACAGTTGCACTGTTAAGCGGTTATTTTCTGATAAATTAATGATTTAAATACCTCTAGTTGTAATAATGAAAATTGAATCATCCAACCATCCATATACTTATCATGAATCTTGAATTATCTCGACGCAACGTGGTTCTCAATCTATTTTTTTCTGTCGAGAGCGCGCGTTGTCCTTTATAATAAGGTGCCGAAAGGGATGTTGCTATTATTTGATTCTCTTGCACGATGTTGTTTTGTTGTCCATTGTCGTACTGTCTGCTGCCATGCACCAACCGCCAAGTCGAATTCCTTGTATGTCTGATATATTATGGTAATAAATGTTTCCTGATTCCTTATATGTGTTTAAAGCGTATAAAGTAAAAGTAGGAATTCAGAAATCATCCTGCTATCAAGCCGGGATCTGTTTCCACGCCCAATAATGTACAAATCACCCCAAACATAGACGTTGAGGACCTCTTTGCCCAAACGAACTCCTCCAGAAGATCCCCATCCACTTTTTTAAATCCAAACCCACAACAAACCTTTAGTAACCCACGCGTGACCTTTTCCCCCTCCTGCGTGTGTGGTTTCTAACTGGACACTCGGATCCTCGGCTTCCTCTCTGCTAAATGTTCTGTTAGAAATTAACGGAATCCGCCCAGCAGGAGTCACAACCAGCGTAACAACCAGCGCCTCGTCCTGTTTGTGTCTTTGTTCTGTTTGTCGTTTTTATTGGGGTTTCCGGCCTCATCATGGACGCAATAAAGACATTAGGAACTGCTATAACACCACGAGCGCATACCCCCCCCCCCCCACACACACACACAGAGACCGCCCTCTTTCGGTGCATATGGTGTTTTAGGTTCCCAGACGAGGCCGTATGCCCCTTGGAAATCTCGTGCGGATTTCGTGAGACCTCGTGCAGTTGCTTGGCTCTGGGGTACACTCAGGTGAAACGCAAGGGGAAGAGGGGTCGTTGTCGCGCAGGGGTTAGAGAAGGTGTGCTGGGAAGCACAAGGTTGGTGGTTCAAGTCCAGGCTGCCCCATGTTCCATGTCGAAGTGTCGACGTGTCCCTGAGCAAGACACCTAACCCCTAATTGCTCCCCAGGCAAAAATGTGAAAAAGCCATGGGTTTAAAGTGTAATGTAAGTCGCTTTGGATAAAAGCGTCTGCTAAATGACCTGTAATGTAATGTAAAAGAGGCTGCCCGAGGGGGGGGGTTGCCCTTGCCAGTGCCAGTGCCCGTGCCCAGCTTTGCATTAGCGCGACGTATCTCGTTGTTGCTTATGAGATCATGTATCATATAGGCTATTGATTTAAATGTTATTACAAAAAGAAAGCATACAATGATCGCAACACAAACTGCAATCACATTCCTATACGAGCTCTATTGGGTCCGGTTTACAGCTGCGCAGTGATACATCAGTGTCACAACAACTGGAACCCGTTCTACTGAGGGCAAAACACCGCATTTACTGCGTTTGATACTAATGCTTCTAAAGAAAAGTGTCATGTATGATATAATATAGTGGAGTATATTTTAAAAAGGTACACACCCAAATACAAACCATCTAGCAAGTGATGTTTTTACGGTATGTTTATGTGAAAAGATAGCGTATAATGAGTACATCATATTTATTGCAATCATATTTAGCAGATGTTATACATATACATCACATGTACATATGCACTATATGGCAATCTTTGCTGTGGTGTAAAAATAATTACACCCTCAAAGTGAAACCAAGAGGATTGGAACTATTACTACTATTATCTCTTGCAGTGCTTGTGTGTGTTCAAAGTGATGCGTGGCCGGGAATGAACAAACATGTTTGTTAGCGTTGTGACAATAGTCGCTATGAGAACACATTATGGATATGGTGTTACACACTATTTTCCCATCAACATGAACACGTGTCTGATCGTGGTTTAGATATTTTCACACTAACCTGTGTCCTCATTTCTCTTTTTTTTTCATTTTATTTGGAGATGGCTGATCTGACATTCCTCCTGCAGAACTTGAAATATGTCTCAAACTTACTCTGAATGATGGACCATGAAGAGAGAAGCATGACCAGATGAAACTATGGCCTACACATTATTCTATTGCCATGACTTATTTTTTTGATTACAGACAGATCGACTGTAACTTTTATTTCGTTATTATTTTTCAAATAGGTGAAGTGAAGATAATTGATGTTTAAAATAAACATGATCACACCATATTCGTTCATGGCTCAAACTGGCAGCAGACATGCAAACGTCATATCTTTAGCAATGACACCAAGTCCCAAATATGGGTCACAGACTATAAAGAAAGAAAAGGGAATACAACTGAATCGGAGAAAGGAGCCACCACAAAAAAACATTAAAACCACAATAACTTCAACAGAATTACAGAGTGTAAAATACAGCTCATCACATGGAAGTGGCGTTTTGTAACTGACATCAGAGTGGTACATTGGCTGTTCTGTTGTATCTCAGAACACCTCAATGGAGGACATTAGAGATGATGATGCACTAAACATATCCACGCATAGTCACTCACCGTGGACATCAAGCTGTGGATCCGCGGGTATCAGAGCGCTGCTGTTTCTCTGCTGCAGCTCGGACACGAGAGATTAACGCTATACGTCTGTTCATCAAGATCAGTACATTTCCGTTCTAAATATGAGTATGTACACACAGGACGAAAAAGAAAATGGTCTCTTTCTTCAATAGGAACACGTTTAGTTTATTTAGGAAAATATGTTTAAAGTGTCCGGTAGAATAAATCACTCCTCTTCCTCCTCCTCAGCGCCCTCCTCATCTCCAGTCGTCTGTAATGCGGCCGTCAGGGAGCTGCCGTCCGTCCCCCGATTCTCCTTCTTCCACTTCATCCGCCGGTTCTGGAACCAGATCTTGATCTGCCGCTCCGTCAGACAGACCGCGTGCGCCACCTCCACCCGCCGCTGGCGCGTGAGGTACCGGCTGGAGTGGAATTCCTTCTCCAGCTCGAGGGTCTGGTGGCGCGTGTACGTCTGCCTCCCGCGCCTTCTGTCGGTACCTGCACACGTTAGGATGCAAGTAAGGTCACAGATTAATCAAGAATAGCTGCAGACATGAAAAAAATTATTTTGGGGTCAGTGAAATAATTTGCTGTGTATTTTTTGTAGCATGAAATATGATTAAGTCCTTTTCCGACAGGGAATCACATCGGAAGTGACAAAAATAAGTTGAGACTCGTTATCCTCACTTGGTACGTTTTTTCTTCTTCTTGGTAACGGTTATTTGTTATATATTTTTTAATTTTCTAAAAGAAAACAATTCTAAAGGCGTTATTTGAAAAAAAAAGCACAGAATCAGTGATCTGATTGTAATATTTTACTTGAAGTAAATCTGAAAGCATATCGCTTTGCATTCAATTTGTAATAAATAGACAACAAGAAAACATTTCATCATCCAAACGGATTTGCAATACATTTTGCTTCACAAAACATCTTCATGACCTTTGAACGGACTGTTTTCCTCACATACAACCTGGCTGCAGCTTGTTGTCACCTCCACGAGCAGCACATTTGACTTGTGCGCTTTGTAAACACCATAAAGCAGTTACTAAATGATGGTCTTTGTTGGTTCAGCTGCTGTCTGTGGGTCGAAGCAGTGGACTCCACTTCATAATCTGAAGAGGAATTTAAGGGGGGCCACCGCAGTTATTTATACTACCTGCCTTCATGTCATTACACTATATAAACTGTATTCCTTTCTAGTATCTTATATGTGTGTATCTTGTCATGTTATGTAATTCTATGTCAGTAATTTGGTTTGATACAGGAAAAACCTGTTTTTCTCCTAAACTGCACTGGAGGACAATATAGAGTCAACGATATTTTATTGATATTCATTTGTCTTTTATTATTTGTTTTAGTTATTTATTGTTATTTTTTACCAATGTCTTTTTAAAAAGTATACAGACATTTTTTGACTTTCTCTTACTTGTTGAGACTCCTAATGCAGGAATGTTGGATTTGAGACAAAAAGCAGAAAACGAAAACTGCTCCTCGTGTGAAATGTGCCCTGTGACCTTCTGTCCCCATGGGGTCACGCAGCGCCTGAAGGTTAAGGAGGAACTGGGTCACATTTTCACTTCTCGGTGGTCGAACACCGGCCACGCAAACCTCCTCAACCTCCAGTCCACTAAACCTTCAGGAGGTCGGTGCCAACTTGTGCTTTGAGTTGTGAATGTAATTGGAAAGTCTTCACACAGTCTCAATAGATAAAATTCAGCTGGTTTGTACATTTTTGGGGTCTTTAGGGGACCTCTTTCAGGAACTGTTAGACCACCCTGCTGCTGTACTTTAACAGCGTTTGCTGCTATTTAGTGAGAAATCGTAAATATGTGCTGGAGCATATTGTGAGTCATCAGATGAGAGCAGCAATGACGATAAATACAAAGTCATGCGAAGTTTTGTGAAGTGTCGAAACTTGGAGTAATATATACCATGTTTTGGATTGATTTTTCTGAAAGTATAGTTGACTATGGAAGGGTTTTGAGTTTAAAAGTGTGTCATTTTAAATGCATACATTTCCAGACCAGACGTAGATAAAGGAGGTTGAAATTATCGTGTCACTTTGCTGACATTTTAGAGTCAGGGGTTTTATAGTGAATTTGGTCAATCAAAAAATTATTGTTTCCACAAGGTTTTTAGTTAAACAACATTGTATAAATCACTGTGAATTATATTTGAACAAACCCCGCTGTAAAAACCTCCAGAATATAGAGAGGAATGAAGCTGGGTTTGTACAATGTAATTGCTAAAGATTTCTGGATGAGTCTAAGTACAACATTCATGAAAAAGACATTTTAAAATGACATGCATTGTAACTACAGGGGAAGATGGCAAAACATATCCAATAGATATTAAATTATAAAAAGCGATTTCTTCAGGTTAGGCTTATTCCATACCCTGAATTTGTAATATAACTATAATATACAAATAATACGCAGCGTTTTGTAAACGTTAACGTGGGAGTGTATTCAAATCGTGTTTTATATATTTAAAAAAGTTAAATATAAGAAAAAGAAACTATCCAATCATTTGTAAATAGAATGGAAATAAATTTATGTCATGATGTACACAACTCGTAATTGTGCATTTATGTCCGTGTGACAGATGCGTTCAGGGTGCACAGGATTCCGTGTCTTTAACTCTATACGATGAAGCACTAAAAACAACGTCTGAGGGGATAATAAAGATTAAAATTTGATGTGTTTTTTTCGACTTCCACTTTATTTAATCTTTGTGTCGTTTATTATTTGTTTATTTAACATGTCTGGAAATATATGGTCAAGGGAGCTTCTTCTGCTGAGAAGGAATACCAGAAAATAAAAAATGTACCGCGTACACAGCATGACGCGTCTGCGCGTGATCGTGAGCGTGCCACAGTTTATTGAAGGCAGCGGCCACTATGTGTGGCTGACTGAGTGTCAGCAGCGGGGAAGCGTGTTTGATTGAGAGTGCATAAGTGTTTGTGCTTATCTGTGAGCCACATCCTCTTGTATTGCATGGCCAGGCGTGTGCGTGTATGTGCATGCCCGTGTGCATTGGTAATAGTGATTTGTTCGCGCTCAAGCTCGAGTTAAAATTCTCTGTCAATCAAAAACAAGGAGCGATTACACTTTGTGAAAACACACACACACACACACACACACACACACACACACACACAAACAGAGTGGTAAACCAAAATAAATCTCGCCCCTACTTTAATATGCGCATGCGTATGTTTTATTTCCCGACGTTAAGTGGAGCGTCGAGGACACACAGTCTAAATCATCTTTCCGAGTCCTGAACTGGAATCAGATCTAAATTAAAATCTATAAATTCATTAAACAGGCTGGCGGCCTTTATTGTCTTTTTTTCGTTTCATGTCGTTAAAACGTACATTTTATTTCATTATGTTAACCTATTTCTAATATTGAATATAATCTATTGTCAAAACAAAGGCCCCATTTTTACAATAATACACTTTATTATTAGATGATGCATTCTGGTTTTCTCTCTGTCTCTTTATCGCGCTCGTTGACCTTGCTTTGCTGCGTTCGCTTTCTATCGCACACACGCAAACACACACACACACACACACACACACACACACACACACACACACACACACACACACACACACACACACACACACACACACACACACACGCACACACAGGCACACACACACACACACACACTCTCGATCTCTCTCACTCTCCTCTCTATCCGATCCTGCCCCCATGTGTGTGCGTTGGTTTCAGGGGTAATTTGCATCTATTATCAGCTCTTCATCCCACTGTTTTTTCCACGCAAGCAGAGGGACGCACACGAGCACACACGCGTATAATCTACACGATATTTTACTGTTTCCCTCCTTTTCCCGCGCACGCGCCTTGCAAGACTAGATGGTGGAGGCTTGAAGCGCTTCGCGCGCTTGCAATAATGCAAAGGCAGTGAAGGAGCAAATGAGGAGGAGGCCGTGCAGCGTGAGCAAGAAAGGAGTACTGTGACACGGGGGAGAGAGGGGGAGAAGGAGAGAGCGCGCGGCCTAATTGGTATTGGTTTTAACAAGTACCGGCCTATAAATGTAATTGAGGTTTTAAAACCCCTTGTTCTCTTCTGCTGTTCACACATATGCACATCCGCACAAACAAAACTATGTTAAAAAATTATAAATAGACTAGCTCTGCAGCCGCTAGCCTTCTGATGCTCTACGCGTTTATAAACACGATGTCCATAAACACGTAAGGAGGAAAGTGGGGTGCGATGGCCTCTGAGAAAGTGTCCCCGTGTACCGTGCGTGTTTGCTTTTTTGCGTGAAGGCCCGGAACACCTTTTCACTGGTTATTTAATTTCATTCTTGTAAGCAATAGGCACGGTTCTCTAACGCGGTGAAAGGCTTAAAAAATGCAAGACTGCCTAAAGACCCAAATGTGGGCTACTTTGTACTTCGAGGAAGACGTAGCCTCCTCAAGTGTCCGTTCAAAATATGAGCGGGAACGTCGATCATACCTCGAGATATGACGTGTCGATGATGGGGGGGTCCACCATACGAGCTCCAATAAGTGCTTATCTTAATGGCGTCTGTGGTGTGTTCGGATGGTGAGATGTGAACGTGATGCAAACCCCTAAAAACTGCAGACACACACACAAAGTGGCATTGCATTGAAAGAAAACACCTTCTTCTGCTACACTAATTACATCTCATTACATTTTCACCACACTAGCAGTGCATGCACGTGCGTATACATATACTGGGTGAAGCTAATTTTCACACTTTCAATTGTCTAATTGGGAGAAATGCTAGCGGCAGTAACTCCCTCCAACGGTTGGGCGTTAAAGTCCTTGGTGTGGACTTTACACCGGGGGAAAGTGCCATTTCCTGGCAATATCCTGCACGTCCATGGGTGACTATTTCACAAGGCCTCAACCCTTCCTCGGCCCCCCCTACCATCAACCCTACCCCTGTAAAAACGACTTGGAACTACCTCAAATGTCAAAATGTCCAATAGCAAAGCCAAAATAGTGTCCCAACCATTCGTCTGATAGAAAACAACCTCTTTTAAAATGCATTGAGAGGAGGAACACGGCAAGTTTCACCCACTTTCAAAGGAGCCCCTGCTAGGCGGAGTCAGGAGGAGCCTCGGGCGATGTCTGCCTCCTTTCCCCCAAATGGTGGAGCACGAGTGCCATCAGGTGGCGGAGGACGGAAGTGCCACCGTGGGGGAGGACGTTGGCCTGTTATGCGGCTTTATGATTCTGTTAAATCGGCACATAAAGCTATACAAGCTGCTTTAAAATAAAACTGCAGGTTGTAATTGGAGGGCCAGGTGTCAGGGCTGGTTTGCTATTTAGGGAGAGAGTCGGTCACGTTAGACTGGAAATGTAAAAAAGTAATTGAAAGGAAATCATTTCTTAACGTCATTTGAATGAGTTTTACCACTAGTATAAAAGTGGACGGCTACCGATTACTGGCCGATATAGTACCGAGATAATGCTGGGATCACCGTTTCCTTCCACGGGTGAACTGCTGATTCTCAAGTGTATAGGCCTGAAACCACAATCATGAATACCAGACAAATACGTGTCTTCTGTTGTATACGTTATATGTATTTTATAACGAGCCGGCTAACAAATGAAGCCAACCGAAGAAAAGATACTAAATATAAGTTATTGATACGAGTCTGTTAATTCTACAGTACTTCTGTTATGAACTAATTTGGTTGCCTATATGTTATATATCATTAGCATATTTTATCATATTAAAAATAGTTTACTTCTCAGTCAGATACAGAAGGCATGTGGGCCTATGACCATTTATTATTATCCTTATTATTCCCATTATTATTTTCTGCCCAGTCAGACAAAGTTGCAGCATGTCCACACTTTTGGTATTACAATATTTAATTTGATTTGTTTTGAAATTAAATTATATAAAATCAAAGTAGATTAAATGAAATTAAATAATGTTAAATTACATTATTGTATTGCATTATTCAATATCGGATTTTATGAAATGATACCATAATATATTATTTTTGTGGTATTTATTCATATGAACTAATAAAATGCAAATAAATACAACAACATTCTGGGTAAATATTTTGCAATGGCACATAATCAATACATGAGACCACTGAGGTCATTGGTTGTTGATTATGCGTCTTATATTTACACTCCTCGTCAACTTGTGTCTACTTCTAATCTGCTCATTATTATTTTGGGAATTTTCAGAGATCTCCCAAAGATGGGCCGAAGCGCATCGTGGCTGATACGACCTGTGAAACAATGACAGGAACAAACGAGGGCACGGGAATGAAAGATGGAGCGCAGGGAAGTGTAACGGCGTGTATCTCCTCTGTGTCGAGGTAGTCCAGCTCCAACACCTTTTATTACACCAGATCATCCCCGCTTGTATGCTTTGAGGGACCTAGTGAGTGCGTGTTGTTAGTCTGCCTGTATTTGGGTGTGCATATAGCTAAATTACAAGCTGCACACCGTAAAAACGGTAGTTAGCGCTGTCTGAAGAGACTGAGGCCCTGATCCTCAGACTTACCCCTGTGCGACATGATCCCCTATTAAGCGTTTATTTAAAAAAAATATTCAATGATAATAACAACAAATGTAATCCCTCTGTAACCCACTAGTACCGTGTGGCCCTCCGGGATCCTCGGGGCTCCGACATGAACGCACCCACAGAGCCTGTGGGAGCCGGCTGAAGAATGTGTGTCCGCGGTTTCGGTGAGTTCTCTCTTCTTTGGTGTGCTTGAAAGGGTGAACGGATAAATATGAGTGAAACAAAGGGAGGTCACACACACACACACACACACACACACACACACACACACACACACACACACACACACACACACACACACAGAGCCAAACGGGTACAGAACCATAAAACTCCCAAAGCTAAGAACAGCAGGAGAAACTCAAAGGAGAATTTCCCTGTGAAGGGGGTTCCTCTGATAGGCCTTGCCCCCCCCCCCCTTCCATCCCCCACCGCTTCTCTTTAACGCGTATATATGCATAAGCCCTACACTAACATTTTCTGCCCTCTTCAGTCTTCATTGCCCATGAATATAACCACCAAGTAAATTATCAAACGGGGGGAAGGGTGGATTTGAAACTTTTGCTATAAGATTTCTCTTTCCGTGCGTCTACCACCTTTCTCTTTCTTTCAGCGCGTTTGTTTTACAGCCGTTTAGTTCTCAACCTTCAGAAATGTATACGCTATAAACTTTTATTGCCGTCATTTTCTTTTATTGTGCCGCTCCGCATTGAATCCGCTTCTCCTCCTCTTTCTCTCCTTTTCCGTCTTCCTCTTTGCTGCTTTTACGACAGTCTGCGGCGGCTTCTTCCAACCCGCGCGCATCCGCATCCTGCGTCCCCCGTTACTCACCCAACCCATCGTCGTTCGCTTTTTCTTTTTTTGTGTTACTCATGAGCTTCCAGACCTCCGGTGGTGCAGCACATCCTGCTCATATCATGCTGTTTGTTTCCCTGTTTGAAAATAGGAAGTGTAGAAAAAACAACTAGCGTGCGAAAGAAGAAGAGGAGGAGGAGGAGGAGGTAAAGGAGGAGGAGGAGTAGGAGAGGCTGCTGAGCTGAGGGACACACACTAGCAGCTTTTTCTTTTGAGGCAAAGTAAGAAAAACTAAAGTAATAAACCCTGACGTATTGAGGTTTCGCAATAACACAAGAAATAGATTCAGGAATAATCAATCTCGTGGCGTCCACCGGGCGACGCGCTGCAGGAAAACAAGCCGGTCTGAGTTGCTGTTTGGACGGATGGGAATCCGACTAATGGACCAACAGGGGCAAATCATGCCAAACACATAATAGAACACGCTCAAGTTGAGATCGAATCTGAAATGTGAGCGAACCTGCTGCACCTCCAACTTTTGTCTGCAGAATAAGCAATGCAACATTTGGTTTTCCTTCTAATTTATATTGTAATTTGTATTCGTATTTTTTTTGTGTTTTTGTGAATTCTTTTTTAATGAGACATAAATCGTTTTCCTATTGATTTTGTTTTTTGATATTGTGAAAATGATTCTGTTTCATCTTATAGTTTGCCTAATTAAAAAATAAATCGTTTCACTGATTTAATAATATCTTGGCTGCCATGTTTGTGTGAGTGTTGGGAAATAATAGTTACATTTGAATATTGTTTTAGGCGATTAGACTGTATATTTTTATCAATTCAGCTGCATTATGCTACTGAATTAAATTATCATTATTATGATTTTAGTAGTTGTAGTAGTATTATCTGCCCAATCAAAGATATATGTGTGTAATATATGCATCTCTCTTTTACTTCTGCCTTAGAGGCAGCTACGGCATGTACACGTTTTTAGTATTCAATCATAATATAATATCAATTATAATTGTTCAGCTAGTGCACGTATCTTCATATTTCTGGCCAGTCACAAGCATCTGTAACATCTGCAGAGCAGCCAGCAGCACTTGGCTGGCTGGCCTTCTACCTCCTAATGAGTCCACAATGGCCGACGTGATCTGATCCACACAGCTGTACGTATCAAAGGAACCATAACTCTCTTTGAGGAAATGTATGAATATGAATTAAATTCCCTTTTCCTTCGTGAATTATAGAAGCATCGTGTTGTAAAACAGCTCATTGAGTGTGTGTGTGCGTGCGTGTGTGTGTGTGTGGGGGGGAGCGAGAGCTCTCGCGTCCTTCCAACCCGGTGTAGACACATTGGATCAGCCGCGTTCGCCAACGGTTGAAATATGAATTTAGCTCACAGCTGCACGTGGTTTGTCTTGTGCGGCCCATTTACTCTGAAGAGATGGCACCAAAATGACGAGCCCTGCGCCTATTTAGCCGTGCTGCTAAATCACGGCACAAGGAGCCGATCTGGAGTCCTCCGTTCATGCCGGTTTGGGGGTGTTATAGAGAAAGATGGGGATTTGAGTGCGCGAGGTGCTATGTCAGCATAACGACTGACTTCAGCCCAGTGGGATGCAGTTTGCGGAGATTTTATAAGGAAACGGCTGCTCAAGGGTGATGAGGCCGGATCAGATCATACACTAAGAGACGGTAACGTTGATTGTTCATTTTGGATTATCTTCATTCAAAATATATGGGCTGTAAAACATAGCAAACTCTATTTCACAGTAAAGGGGCTTAATATCGGGCATATAAATGTCTGATCGATGCGATTTCTATACATCTATGTACAATTTAGGCAATAGATTAGCACATCTCTCCTCACCCAAAATAATGACTCTGCCCTTCAGAACAGACCGTGATGTCTTGTGTTCTTCCGTCTCCGTAACTAAAGAGCATCGCTGTGTTTGTTATGCGAGGCTCCAGCTCGCTGCATTGTTTCAGATTGTGTCCGGAGGCCTCTTCTGCTGGTCCCGGCCCTCTTTGTTCCTCACTGCTAACACATCAACCATTGACGAGCACTATTTAATAATAAATATATAATAACGTACACAAATGTTCTATCACTTAAATGGATTTTATACAATCAAATACGAGATTTCTTTTATGTATTTGTGGTAAACAGATATTATTTTCCCCGTCGCAGGAGGCATCCACAACTATTAATACATGCATAAAAACACGGTATACACATTTTTACATTCATAACTGATGCCTGAGGGAAAAATATGGTAGTTGTGATGATGAGTTGTATTTCTGTGTTTAAATGAATGTATAACATCCACTCAATAAACACAGAGTAAGTACTTAATCGTGTGCTTAAGTCGCTCTTGATTATGCCTATCATAAGTGTTTATATAGCGATGCTTAAGATGAATTGTTGTCATGACAACGGCTCCGATTCATGCCAGGACTTATTGCTTACTCCTGTTGCTAATGCCAGTGTAAAAAACTAGAAACACAACTGCTGCCAACTCTAGTGCCAAGGCTCCTGTTGCCAACGCCATTGTTGGGAATCCTTCTGCTGAAAACACCAGAGTTCTGAATACTAATATTTGTGCTGCTTACACCAGAGTTGTGAATATACTCCTAGTGTACCAACGCTAAATGCTGTGTGCACAGGACTGCAGCTGAGACCGGGGCCATGTCCTTGCTGGAAAGGACACTTGCAGTGATGCAGGCTGATTGTGATCATTTCTTAAAGCTGAAAGAGATATATGTGTGGTTTGTGAGAAGATTTTATATTAAAACATGGAGGTGGGGCTTGTAGAATCTATATTTCAACAATTGAACCAGGCAAAGAATATTGATATTGATCGATGTAATCAATATTATATATTAAATAGCCCACTTGGTTAAATTGTTAGAGTATGTACTGTCAGCGTTGAATACCGTTGAAGGCTGTCCGCTTTGCTCCCACCGCTGCTGGATGTCACGCCTTTTGTCTTCATAAAACGGCAAAACGTGATGCGACTTTTGCGCAATACTATAATCCCGGTCCTGGTTACAAATGAGGCACGAAAGCAAACAGAGATCCCCGCCGCTCTCCGCCACAGACTCCGTGTCTGCCAGTTATTTGGTTGCAGGGACAAACACAAGAACCGCAGCGGCTTCACGAGCTCCTAATGGACGGATGACGACGCTCCTAATGAATGCACTCATCATCCGTGGGTGAGAGGAGGGGGGTTTACGGGTTTATGACAGTCTTTTGGTGTTGCAGCCAAACAGACGCCCCTCTCTTTCTCGCTGCAGTGTGCAACTGAGGAGACATATTTAAAACACATGCTGCCCCCCTTCGCTCCATCCAGACAAACAGGCACACGGAAGAGTCAATGTGGAGAACGATGAGGAGAATAAATAAAAGGCTCTCAACATGTTCCACCGCAGCTGAAAAAGAGATAACGGACATTTATCACAAGTTAAAGAAGCATGTCATACTGTATCTTCTTTAATAATGGATCGAGCATCAACGGCGCCATCAACACACACGCACACGCACACGCACACACACACACACACACGCAGAAAAAAGAGACAACACAGAGCGGGAAACAAGAGAGGACTGGAACAGTTCACAAGGAGGAAAGGATCAGTCACTAGAGTTAGTCCTAGTCGTTAATAATGTCTTTACACATGGCTTTTATTTGCCTTGTTTAAAAAAAAGAAAGAAGTAAAATGACTTGTGGAGCTATGTACACATGTATACACATATCAGCAAAAAAAAGAAAAACTCCAACTTCAGTTTCTTCAGTCAGAATACACAGGAACTCCAACTTCAGTTTCTTCAGTCAGAATACACAGGAAGCGGGATGCAGTCATAATAAGCCCAGATAATAAGAACAAATAATACAAAAAAGCATATTTCATAAAGATGCTCTCCTGCATTCTGTCATTACACAAACACATCGAGCTCGTCGAACTGATGATTCAAATTGGCGGTCCAACGACATGGAGAACACAAAGCAAAAAACACGACAGAGAGAAATACAGTAAAGGTCCTATACCACAAAACAATACTATTCATCATATTTATTCCAATAAGAAAGACCAGATGGATCACTTTATGTACAACACATTAGAAATATGTCCTATTAGGAACTGCTTATTCCGTCATGTTTTCATTTTCCCAGCAATCATTCCCCTCCATCAGATTAACACATGAGGAGTTATACGACGAAACAACGTATTTCAATGCATCGAAGCATGCGAAAACCATGTAAACATTTTACTCGTAAATAGAGGATTTGATACGTCTGCATTTAATATTTTTCAAAGAAAAAGATTTAGAGACCCGATGAAGGCTGCAGGTAAACTAAAAATGGACATATCATTGACTAAACTGAAGAACACATCGGCGCAAGTGTGCGTACACTGTATGCATGTCTTTTTTTTCAACGCTGGTGCACAACTAGCCATTGTGGTCTGCAAAACACGCGCGCGCGCACACGCACACACACACACACACACACACACACACACAATGGTCGCACACATAGCGTTGTAAACCCTATGTGTTGTTTATGATCCGTCTATAAAACTGCCATCAGACGCCTTCTAACTTCGCCGACACTTCAATTAACGGCACACCGGTGGGTCGGCCCTCCGACGTGGCTTCCTTGTTTACTTCCAGGTGATTAAATATTCCGCATGAACCAAAGTCTTACCAGAAAGTGATGTCAGAGCTCTTGCAATTGCACACAATTCCTAAAGCTTTGTCCGAGGGAAGAAATCTGAAGCGTCAATTTGTTTTTCCACAAAGGCCAAAAAAACCTTTAGGAATGATAATTACAGGATAATACTACTAGCAAGAAAACGGAATGTTTTAAAAATTAGGAGTGCATCGGGGCTGTTTTAAATCCCACCTTGCGTCCGGCATCTTTCTACGAGAACGCCCCTTGCATAGCAGATAATACACAATATACTGTATGTAAAAAAATAGAGCGGATCACTTCTGCAAGAAGCACGTTGGATAAACATTGGAGGATATAGTAACTGAGAAGGTATTTAAATGTTCAAGCAAACATTTGGGCGCCTTATGGGAAATCTGAAATGAACATCCTTCTTTTTGCTAAATAGCTTGTAAACTAGGAGGCAGGCGGGATGGCAGGCCAGTCTCAAGAAGCTTGCAGCGTGTGTCTTTCATGTTATTTGAGCGGCGCGAGTAATTTGAGAGAAAACCACGGAAAATATGTGGAGGGATTTTTTTTTGTCAAAGCCAAGTCCTGACGCTTTAAGAATAATTTAGATAAGGACTCGATTAGAAAAAAACCTAAATACTTGCATAATCTGACACCGCGGGGACAACTATCGATAGCGGTTTAAGGGCTCGGTGGAGCGGTTGCACAGTGTTTGGATCCGGCATACCGACAGCAACCTAGTCGGATCCCCGGTTGTCGGGAAAGAAATATCAACGTCAATCGTATGGCGCTGATATAATACAATTCTGCCCGCAATGAAGGAAGCTAGAGAGTTGAGTATGACTGCGTGCGCGTGCCTAATAATGTTCATGCTCAATCCAGGTTTCACCGTCTAAAACGTTCCAACAATAAATATCTAATATAAGAGTAGTGCTTGAAGAAAAAATGAAGAAATGTGTCTGTAAAGCACATTTGCCACCTTCAGCATCAACAGCAAAGTCGCAAATTAAAGATAACATAACTATGAAGACCAAAGAGCAGCTTTGATTTCCTCAATCGAACTGTCCAGTCTGCAGCTTTTCATCCGCTTTAAGTCCGGCCCATTTTAAGAAAAGGAAGTCCGGGAGGAACCACCGTTACTCAGTGTGAGTTTGTTTTATAGCCATCGTGGCCACATAACTGCAAACAAGTGCTTCCAAAGTTGAAAACGCTGCCTCCTTCTAACATCAGACAGAGGTCTTTCGTCTCCTGGCAATCAATGAAGCCAAGTTGCAAATATCATTTGTGTGTTTACAGTTGTTGGGAAAGCCATCCCGTGTTCTAGAGATAAGACAAACCTCATGTTGTGTACATGGTGGGAGCGTGCGTGTGCGTTCGAATGTGGGGGGGAAAGTGAGTTCCCCGTTGTCTAATCCTTGGGTTGGTCTTTGCTCTGTTTCTTCATCTTCATCCTTCGATTCTGGAACCAGATCTTCACTTGCCGCTCTGTCAGGTTGAGAGCGCGGGCCACCTCATGCCGCCGGTCCCGGGTGAGGTACATGTTAAACAGGAACTCCTTCTCCAGCTCGAGCGTCTGGTATTTGGTGTACGGGCACCGCTTCTTCCTGGAGGAGCGAGCGTGCAGCCAGTTCGCCGACGGGTCGTCTGGAGGTAAAGAGGAAGAAGTGAAGGGAATTATACTGCCTCCGGACCGGTCTGAGGAGGGGTTTGGAACATTCAAGCAAACAAACATCTCTGTGCGTAAATGCTATGCACGATGACACCCGACGTAGCAAATGTCAACAGGGGTGCGCCATTGAATGAAGAAAGTAAGGGAAGATGTTTAACACGTCGAGCTTCACTTTTGATTGCTTCGTCATTAATAAACGGCGGAAGATTTTTGGACCCGGATGCGACCAAATAGAAATAATTCTAGAGCTCATCCATTGCCTTTCATGAAGCATGCAGCTTTCGTTTGATTTTCACATACACATTTGACACGCACATCATTGTTTTTCTCACAACAACCTACATGAATCTACTGTTCAAACTTATGCTTGATCGTCTTATTTTCGGCCAAATTGTCAACTCCGAGTTTAAAGGGGTAATTAAAGGGGGATAAAATAAAATTTTTGCCTATCACAACTGCCCACTGAGATTGTTGAGGCATATGTTTGAGATGTGAATAACAATTTTGCATTGGAAATGGACAGATTCTCCTTGGAGTGTCGTCAGAAACTAAGTTATGAATTATTGATTAAATATTTTTATTTTCTATCCCTGTCTCTTCTTCTTTCTTCACTGTAAAAATAATCAAGGGGGTTCAACTTAGAAAGTTCAAAAGCTGCCTTACACTTTTGAGTAGAATCAAATTGGATTTAAAATTCGGTAGAACTCATAATGTTGTGTTTTACTTAGCTCTGGATTGATCTCTGTAAGTTCACATGACTGTATAGTGCATGTTTATTCAACTTAGCACCGTAAGTTTAAAAGAAACTAAACTTATTATCATGCATTGTGTTCACTTGTCCAAAGTAGTACTTTCAACTTAGCAACGGAAGTTTAAAAGATGTATAACTCATTACTATGCTGTGTTAACTAGGTCTAACTAATTATGTCAACTCGCTTATTTTAGTTAAAATTACTTTTCTAGTTAATTTTACTTAAAAGTAAGCATTGTTTCAAATGACAATGTACAGTTTGAGAAACACCATGTCTGGTTGAAAAAATCATATTTATTTCTTGCATTAAAAGAAATAGTTATTACATTATAACATGCAGATATCTAACTATATTTATAGATATCTATAGTGTATTTAAACAAAATATTCAGTATTAAAAAGAATATTTACAAAAAGTTCAGACAGAAAAATCCTACAAGTCAATGTAAAATGGACTTCAATTTACAAATAATGAGCAACCTCATACATCTTTCTTGAGACAGTTCAAAATGTCTTTAGTGTCTGCAGCCTTGACAGTTGGACAGTCAACTCACAGTATTGAGATTACGATTTGTTGAACTGGCTTTGGAGGACTGGAAACAATTAAGTTGTAATTGTATAACTCATCATGATAAGTTGAAGTAAATGTCAAAAAGAAGTTACTAGGAGTCTGACTGTTCAAATCCTTTTTTGCAGTGTTGTTTCCCAGGCCACCCTGACTCCTCCACCACCACCACCATCACTACCCAACCGAACCGCTCCTCCTTATGGCTTTCAGACCGATGTAATTAGCAGCGACCTCTATGCGGGTCTGGCTTAGAGCTGAAAGCTGTCTGCTCCTCCATTTTGCAAAGGACCCATCTCAGTTATGAGGCAGCCTGGATACAGTCTCACTGGCAACTACAACATAACAAAAGGGAAGCCACTTTCCATATAACAGTTATTCTTTAACCCTGCAAATTAAATGTTTTTATACTTTGAAGAAACTATCAAAACACACAAAAAACTTAGTGAGGGCTGGTCCAGTTCACTTCGACGTTTACATCTTCTAAATAAAACCTTTAACCATGAGAAATGTTTCCCTGTGGTTAGGCCAAGACTCATCCCCTCCACTCAATAACATCAGCCAAGCAGCCAAGCCAAAGTTTTTTCTTTTGCTGGAGTCTGAAAAAAAAAGCAACAACAAAAAGCCTAATGTCCAAACTGAAATGTCTTAGTGTATGCCTTATTTTTATAACAGGAGTAAAGCTATTTCTTTAAGCCTAATTTATGCTTCGGTGTTTCCAGAGCGACACAAGGACACGCAGACGCAAGAGCCCCTTGCGTGCCTTTTCACACCTCCTTGCGTGTGTCGACCCATTTTTCTAGGCTTGCGTCGAAGGCGATGCAAGCCTCCTGCAGCCCGCAAGGCTGTGATTGGTCTGCTAACTACATCCTTTACGGAGTCTCACATTTCCGGTTTCATAGCACAATACCGCCATTATTAAAACGCTGAATGTTTATGAGAGAACGGATCAGATTGAAGAGCTTTTATCGGAAATGCGTAAATATGACCACTTCTACAAACCGTCATTGGCGGACTATAAGAACACGTGGATGGCCTCCGATTCATAGAGGGAGATCACCACAAACGTCGGTTTTCCGGTCGAGAGGGAAGAGAAATGTGTCCGTAATGAAAAGCAACAGTGGAAATAAAGTCTATGATAAATAAATAAACAAACCAGAAACTTCCATACACAAAGACGTGACTCTCTAGGTCGTCTTCGACAAAAAACGTTACTCCATGTAGGATTTGTAGGTGAAAAAACTTGAGGCTGTTTTTTGTTTCAGGAAAGCCTTCCAGAGGTGCGTCACACTGAGTGAAACACAGCACATTAAGCCAAATTATGAATATATGCTTCCATCTAAATCAGCGAGGTTAACTTCAAGGCCGTAAAAGCTTCTCATTGAAAAAAAGATGATTCATGCTTTCAGCCAGGAGCAGACCTGGGCAAGGGTTACAACGGGGATTTCCCTCCCAAAATGTAGTCTCAATCCTCTGGCCTCAAATGGCAGAGAAGAATAATCTTATCACTCAAAAGTCATGGAGAAAGGCCAGCGCTGCAACTCATTTTGACGCCAAACAAGGAGATTTAAAATCATGCGCGTCCCTCCCTGAGGAGTCCTTTCGATAACTTATGTTCGGTGGAGGCTTCACCTGTCAATATCAACAGTATTATTTATCCCATGACAGATCTTTGCTACGACACCAATGAAATTCACAAAACTGCATATGTGATACCAGTGATTTTTTAAACTCCTAGATGTGAACAGAAAGCTGCTTTGTGTGACACACACAGCAATGTTGACTTTGATTGTTTGACAATCTCAAATATTCAGGGACATTTGTTTTCATATTTGGTTGTCACAGTAATGCAAACCCATTTGTATACAATAGATGGGATGAATGTGTTAATAACCCACATGAGATTGAGCGGGGACATGTGACCTCATTTAAATAGTCTGTAGAGAAGAAGTCATGTTGGACGAGTAGGTGAAAAAAAAAAAATCACTTTAGATGGCCGATCATTTCGCATGTGGTACACAATCGATTGTATCGGTACTTGGAAATTGCACATTGGATTTAAGCACAAAAATGGCATGGATGTGTGTGTGTGTTTGTTTGTGTGTTTTTTAGCACTTTAGACACGTTAAACGTTACTGGATTCAGTCTGCCTGTCTGTGACGTCATCAGTACGCAGCGGCAGCCGCGCGAAACTCTGAACAACAACAAAACACAGCGTGAAGGAGACGACTGCGAGCGAGACATTTACAAACCAACTTATCGATCCAGCGTGTGGAAACATTTTGGCTTTTGCAAACACGTGTTCTAAATAAATCGGTCGCTGTTTGTGGAATATGTAGAAGCCAAATAAAAAACCACGGAAACACAACGAATCTTTCCAGCCATCTACTAAGGCGCCGTGGGATTAAACAACTCCGACAGTCAGGACCTCTAGCAGCGTCGCGGCTGCAGCAGCAGCAGGTAACTCTGCAGACACCTCAGGCCTCGCCAGCACCAAACTCAACATCATAGTAACAATTGTTTATCTGTAAAGACGTGCAACCCTACAATGTGGTTGAAAATCCGGGGTTCTGTGAATTGATCCAAACATTGTGTAATTATTGTGTAATGTTTACATTGAAAATGGCACTTCAAATAAAAGGTTAATACATTTGCCATGAATTGTTGTTTGTTTGTTTATAATATCCATAATTAATTTAAACCTGATTTCCTTACAAGAAACAACAGGGATCTCACAAACTTTTCCTGCACTGACCAGGTTACTGAATCGATTTCAAGTCACTGAGTCAAATTGAATCGAATCGTTCTAAATGAATCCAGATTGTCCATGAATCGAACCAGCAACCATGAATCGCGATTCGAATCGAATCGTTGTTAAAATGAATCGTTACACCCCTAGTAACAAGACTTCTGTGGTTATTGTTATAATAACTGTTATTAACAATGATCTTATCCGAAACCAAATTAAGTGGCATTATTGCCTAAACATAAGCAATACAGGATCTTTTCCTAAACATCCAGTGGTGTGCCTAATCCAGACTTGGCGTTTTGTGTAAATAAAACATTACTTTGAAAAGACTAACAAAAATTTAAATTTTGGCATCTAAATTTTGAAGGAAAAAGCACAAGAAAAGATGCGTAATCTTTTGCTAGTATACAAACTGCTGTTTAAGGACATTTGGACTTATTGCAAACCAAATGTTAACCCCAAAATGGACTTATTTGTTGCATAACTTAATAAAGTAGGCAACCTCTGTATACTCATTCAAACCCAAACAACAATCCAATTTATTCTCAGGACAAATAATGCCTGGTAAAAGAGGTGAGAAGAGGTTCAGCGGTCGGTTCTGGTGGGGGTTTTGTCGCACTGCAAAGTACCCACTTTCATACCCCGGTTGTATAATCACCTCCAGGACCATCCATTACCCTCAAAGCTCCGCCATGACCGTGGCTGTCACCCAGGATGACAGACTGGTTGTGGGGTGGAGGAATGGTGTTGGGGTGGGGTGCCAGTGGATAGTCTTCCTTTTTTTTACAAGCTGTGGGACAGTAAGGACATTGACAGATGTGAAGAAGGATTACGGTGGGTATGTGTGGGCATACCATCCGAGCTTGAAGGTTCCGCTTATAGGCTACATCAAGAAGCAATGTGTTGGCTTGGATGTAACTCGGACGAGCACATGGACGAAAAGATTGATAATCCTGTAAAGTTGGAGCCCCTTGCGGCACGCACCCCAATGTGTTCAATTATAGGCCAGTGTGTGTGTATATGGGCATGTGTATGTGTGCGTCCACCATGATGAATACTGCTTGCGTGGAAACAGTGACTGAGCTGGCGAGAAGACTAATATCACGTCTCCCCCTCTTTCTCCCCCCCCCTTAGCAATTTCACCCTAATAGTTCCAGAAATTGACCTCTCATATATCCCAAAGGCACGTTATTACATTTCCACAAGTCGTATATTATATCCCTCCTCCTACCTCCCCCCAACCCTTGCACTTCATCTCACTCCAGCCAACTAACAGCAACACGCCAATTAATGGGGTTGTTCATCCAGTGTTATAACTTAATAAACTTTGGGGGTAATAACTTTCTTTACTGAAGTGTCATTTTGTAGTTTATTCTGGATGGCTGCCCAGCACCAGTAACAAAAAGGGAATCTGTAGCTGGATGCCAGCTGTGACTGGATGAGATGTCTTGAGGAGGTCGGATTCCGCCCACACACGGCGGCTGTTTGGAAAACCTGAGGGGGGATGTATCCTGGAACTTTGTGCCAAGAGGCAGACACTTATCGCTCCTAATATCCCATTGCAAACCAGTGCCCCAGGTAAAGAGGCTAGGTAAAAACTTGCACATAATGGACCTGGTTTTACAAGTTGGGGTATGTAAGAATTCAGCTGTCAGTGTCCTCTAATGTAGTTTGCATTACATTATATTACATTTTCTGTCGGTAGGCGAACCCTCCATGGCAAAACACACAAGGTACAAAACTAAGAGATTTAGAGATTCTGAAACTGCAACTCTTTGTTTAACACTCCTTCAACATCAATAACGGCTTCCGAGATTTTTGCAGGGATGTAAAGTAAGTAACTTGTTACAACCGAGCCAACTTGTTTTTGGAATGTGTTTATGTCAGCAGCCGACTGGCTTCAGGCTGCGCTAACCAACCCGCCTTTTCAAATGCAAGCGTTTTTCTTCTTCTTCGTCTGTAAAGCTAAAGCATGACTGCATTGAAAAACCCTACTTTGACCCACAATGTTTAAAATGGCTGCCATGTGGACAATAGAGTAGCTGGTGGGTACAGCTCCTACTACATGCCACACTGCAAACCTACAAAAAAACAAAAACGTAAACCACAACAAAGACCGCTGGTAAGAACAACTTTCTCTAATTGAGTGTTTTGAACAAAATTTCAGACCAGCCTTAATTATACCAGCGATCCCACACTGGACGGACAGTGTTACTGATGGTGGAAAGTCTAATAATCCAGACTGGAGGCTGCTGGGCTCCATCCAGCCCTTCTCTGATGGATAGCATGCTCAGTAGCTCTAATAAGGGGCCTGACTGTATCTGTGAGTGTGTGTGTGTGTGTGTGTGTGTGTGTGTGTGTGTGAGAGAGTGGTTTGGGAAAAAATGCACACGGGCGCATACTGTCACATGCTCAGGTGCATGGATCAAACTAGACAAATCAGGCGGGATTAGAGGAGGGCCAACAGAGGACGTTCACACAGCCATGGTTACATAAAATATGAATACATAAAAAAAACGAAATAAGTTTTGCCAGGGAGCGTTTGTTTTTCGTTATACCCCAAATAAGTCATACGCTTTTGGAAAGCGGCTTCCTATTGAGCCAAGCCCAACGGCACACGATGGATTCAATGTCGTTGTACAGCGTAGGATGGTAGACACAGATACAGAACAAAACCCATGCTGCACAGGGCCAAACCCTCCGTGGCTTTATATCAAGATAATTGCTATTCTATGTCAGGTACAATATTATTGTTTTCATTATTATTGTAGAGCGAGCGGATGAATAAAACAGCAGCTTGCATTGGACCATTAGCCAACAACATCAGGAAGACTTGTGTATGCATGGTTTGGAATTATTTTTTATTTAGGTAAAATATTCACTGAGATGCATTTGCAAGACGCATGCAAGGCGTGCATTCCTCGAAGCCATACGTTTGAGGTACCGTTCATTAAATCACAAAAGAATTTAAGTGCTTGTATTTTTAGTAGTGAGGCCTCCGCTCTAGAACTAATGTTGCCCATACTCTTCCGCTTTGGTCATTGATGGAGTGCCGAACTCCTTTCTTATGATTATGTTTTCAGTTCATGACAATGAGATGGGTTGTTATTTTCACAGCCAAATGCTGCAGAAGATCGACGCCATATGTGACCTGTCTGAATTGACATATGACAATATGAATCCGCGAGCGCGCACTCTTGAAAGTCAAATTAAAGCGGTGAAGATGGGATATAGAGAATACGGCATACGACTGGTTACCTTAACCGAAAGATAATCCAACCTGTCGATTGCAAAACTCTGCGATTTATGTGTCCACACAGACCGACTCTGGGTCCGTGACTTGTTCGCTCAATAAGCGGTTTTGGCTATTTTCAGGCAGTCAGACGACATAGTGAGCTTTAAAAAAACGAAAAGGAGCGCTGTGCGTGCCAGCAATTGTGTGGAGAAAAACGAAAAGGACACAAAGAGAGATAACCCTAACCGTTACAATCCACCTGCAGTAAACAGAACCGCAGGTCGCATACCGACGAACGCGGACCAAAGTATTACATATTATTTTACTAATGCATTTAACGCTCTAATGATATGCTTGAATATAATACGTGTCATGACAGCAATACAAAGTTTGGCGTATTCCTACTGAGCAATTTTGTTCGGTTTTAAAGCAAAATGTTATTTATGCACGTTTAAAGATTTGATTACACGTTATATATATATATATATATATATATATATATATATATATATATATATATATATATAACCTGGTTAAGGACGATGACAGCGGGCTGAATAGCACAGTAAACAGTAAAGGATGGGCACTTCACTTTGGCAACCCGGCTCTTTGTTCTTGTTTTATGGCGGCATTAAAAGCATTTACAATCTCGCTCTTCCTCCGCTCTCTACTACTCTGAGCGCAGTGTTTCCTGCTTCAATAACTTACTTTGATCCAGGCCTTCTTTGTCCTCGCTCCCTTCGCAAATGTCCTTATTCTCGTCGAACCCTCCTCTCGGGATGGCGGCCGGGTGGCTCAGCTCGCGCGCAGCCGTGGATGCCGATTCCTGGATGTACGTGGTGGTCTCGTGCTGGTGACGTCCGCACGTTTTTGGAGCAATCTCTCCACCGAGGTGGCCAAGCTGAGGTTCGAGCTTGACCTGACCCGTTGGGCCGTGCCCCGGCACGGACTCGGAGGCGCGCGGCGCGCAGTCCAGCCACGAGCGTAGATACCGTGTGTCCGCGGCGGGCACGTGCTGGGCCGGGATGTAAGGGTGGTAGACGGCGGGTAGGCTGCCGGTGCCGTGGTGCGGACTGAACGGGCTCCAGGAAGACGAGAAGACCGGGGGCTTCGGCTGAAAGCTGCATGACGGGAACGGATCGGGATGGAGATGATCCGCGTGCGCCGCCCCGCCGGGTTGCCTCCCGCCCGCGACCGTGGAGGAGCTCAAGCCGGAATACTGCGCGTCGGGGAAGCGAGGCGGGCTGGAGAGTTCATTGCTCTCGTGACTTATTATGGAGTCCACGTAATAGTTGCTCAAAGTCCCAGAAATGGACATTCTCTGACATTATCTAGTAAACGCCGATAGTTTCACTAAACAGAGAAGAGAGACATTACGAGAATTTTCTCTTCCATCTGCAGTCCTTTGCTAGCTTCCTCCCTCGCCCCTCGCTCGCTCTCTCTTTCTCTCTCACTCGCTCTCTCTCTCCTCCACCAGCTTCCTTTCCTTCCAAACAACTCGCTCACTATAGGGGAACAGTGCCACAGCCTCGCACCGCGCTCTGGGGTTTGTCGGGTCTGTCTGAGAGGAGGAAACTGATTGGCCATACTTTTTCTTCGAGCCAGATAAAGCCTCAATGAAGCGTATATCAGGCTCGCTCGCTCGCGCCCCCCCCCCTCCCTTTTTCTTTTTTACTCTTTCAGCCGTCCTCCTTCCCCCATACTCTCTCTCCCTATCTAACAGACCCCCGCACCTCAATAAATTGCATTGTTTATATGCAATAAAAATAGGCGATCGTCTCCATATCTCGTCCGGATCTATGGCCACTGTCAACTTCAGAACGGCACCAAATCGTTCAACTGCGTCGTCTGCAAAGCATGCGCGAGAAGCACAGCGCAAGACAATAGCTGACTAATAAGCTTTTTTTTATTTATTTCCCAACCTCATTACGACACGCGCGAGGCTGTCGGCGTGCGGGGTCCCATTACCGGGAGCGCGGTGTCAACTCCTGCCCAAATTTGCGCGGGCGACCAATCGATCCAATCAATCTCAAAATGAACGAACGCGCATTTAAAGCGCAGTTAGTGTGTAAGTACCAAGAGTCCCACACTTAAAGACGCGGATATGTTCTGCCTGGGACAAGACGGAGAGTTAAAAAAAAAAATCACACCTGGGTGTGTTCAACCTTTTGTCCACTGTGGCAGAGTACTTGGAAGGTTGCGCGGCGAGCTGCCAGGGCCCCCCGACACTGTTTTATTGTCAGATTAACAGTCATTTTTGTTAACGAGCACCATTAAATGCCGGCGTCGTGCGCGGAGAAGCCCGTCGTCTTTACAGCGCAAACATACCTCTACTACTTTTTAGGGGGCGTCTGTTTAATACCATAATAAAACCCCAACATTGGGGAGGCTGCTATTTTACAGGACTGATATATGGCCTGTGGTGGTGCGGACCGTAAATGCGACTACAGGCTTCCTCTCCTCCCGGCAATGCCGCTCTTCATTCGGCGGCCTGGCTGCTTGAGAGTATAAACACAACCAAAGGACGCAGCTCTCGGCCGAAGTGATTTTTTATTTTGGAAGGGGGGTAGGGGCAGTTTTCTTCAGCAGTGAGCTGGTTCTGATGGAGCTAGACCGACGATGCGATCTCAGCAGTTTTGAGGGATAAATTCCATCTTTTGGCTTTTTTTTAAGGAGACCGGAGAGCAGCGGCAGACTGAGTCCAGACGTCCTCCCTGCTGACCTTTATCAAAGTCACCGGGATTGTAAGTCTTTATATTTCTTTATAATTACCTCAGACTTGGAGTCTTGAGGCTCTTTGGGGGACGGCAGGCTGCCGGTTCCCTGGGGCTATAAATCCAAATCTCCGCTTCGCGTACACAGGCTAACACCGTTATTTATGACAATTAAATATGAACTGCGCGTTGCTTATGGGGGCTAACGCGGTTATTTATGGCGACTGAGCTGTACAGGCTCTAAAGCCGCTTTCAAATCTGCCAAGGAGGACTAATGACTTGGACTGGAGACAGATTTTGGTCGCTTTCGTTTCGGGAGAGGCAAAAAAAGGTGAAGAAAAACCAAGAGTCCTTTTAGAGATCAGTCGCGACTCTGACGCCCAGTTTAAGACTTTGAGCTTGAATGCAAACATTCCTCTGCCCTCCGTCATAAAGAACCCACTTCCAGCTCACCTGGACAGCTTCAATCCAGGACCATCAATTTGTTAAAGATTGATGAATTCTTCAAATACTTTCAGCTAGAATTTTTATTTGGTTTGAATGACATTTAAACAATAGATATATACGCCATAATGGCAACACTCTTGTGAATGGATTATTGTGATGAAGTATAATGTTATCAACTGAAATCGTCATGAATTAAGTTTGTTACTTGGCCATCTCTGATTATTAATTATTATTTTTATTATTAGAGACCGAGTTTGTTCTGCACTCGCATATGCTTGGATGTTTTTGCAGTCGTAATGGCCTCTCCTTGGACGGCAGGCTGGGAATTGTATTCTTTCAATGAGGGCCTCCGCCCTGAAGGTAGTGTGAATAGGAGACGGGTGCAAAAAAATTGAATACGCTACTTGCAAACCTTCCTTTTCTGAATGTTGCGCTATGACAGGAGTGTCTACAATCGACGCTACTGACGAGGAAAACATGCATCTATGCAGTATTGTGATTGTTGATGAACAACATTGATTTTATGTTTCAGCCTTGCTGTTGAGTCAAATTAAAGCAAAAATCACACTAAACGCTTTCAGCTGATTTGAAACTTCATTAAACCCTGGGGACATTTTATGTTTACCAGCCACCAATAATACAAATAAAACACCAACAGTGCATGAAACTGGATAAATGCAACTGTTATTGTGTTCTACACGTGAAGTCCAAGGGGTAATTTGCCTCTTCATTTTTTCTGGACAAACAAATGTGGATTTAGAAGTCCTATATTTGTAAACCATGATTGTAAATACAGATCACGCACATTCACGGGGTCAATGTTAATTTGAAAGTGAAAATGTCAGAAACACAGTCGCAGTCTTTTATAGAGTTCAACTGTAAGGCCTTTAGTTCATAAAATAATAATTTTTATTTTGAAAGCCAATTTTTCTTTCTTTAAATACAGTTTGAAAACCAAGTATCTCATGAATACAGGGACTGTGAAGAGATCAAAAATAGTATGAGAATGGATTCATTTAAGACTCATGTCCAACATGTTATATTTTGTCTGTTGATATTTTTCACTTTACTTAGGACATACAATGCACAACTAAAATAACGTATTGTCACATTGTAATGCGTTTAAATAGTAGTTAAAATGCGTTTTTTTAAGATTAGGACTAAGAATTTTAACACTAGGTCCTGACAAAAATAATGTCAGTGAGTGACCAGCAGTTCAGAAGTATCCCAGTGAGCACGAGACGTAATTTCAACGTTTAAAAATGTGGCTGAAATCGGGTTGAAATGAGGTCTGAACGTCTAAAACTGAAATGGTCCGAGTACGGCCCCGGACCGTATACGGCCTGTTGGGGTGTTTAATCCGGCCCGCCGAACTTGTCCAAATATTTTTTTTAAATACTAACAGTTTTTGTAGCACTTAAATGGAAACCTACTTACCAGGGCTTGACATTAGCACCCGCCCACCCGCCAATTGCGGGAATAATTTAGCTGTGGTGAGTAAAGCAATCGCTCTCTCGAGCCACTTGGCGGGTGTAACGTTAATTCTATGTATTTTGTATTGTAATGTAACGGCGGTTATTACAGTGTCATGAGTGCATCATCCACGAAGCCAGAACGCTCAGTTACATCGGTGGTTCATGTAAACCGACTACGCACCGCGACGACTATTTTATGCGGGTTTGAGTGTGCACTTCCTGAGTTTAGCTCAGCTTTCTCAGTTTAGCTAACTGTTAGCAGGCTAAAGGCACTTCAGACAGATGTGCGTGGAGATGAAGTCCCGTTTAATAGCTCAGCGCTGTTCGGCAGACAGTTGGTTAGATCCATGCGGATCCACACATCTAAAAAAATTGCAGGGTTCGGAAGCCAGAAGACACACGCATTTCAACCAGTTCACACGCCACATCTTGAGAAGACTGTTACACCGGCCACACACGTGTCAGGTGACAGGTGGAGGGCTTTGATACAGCTGCTCAGTGCACGTGAAGGATATAGCATCACATGGCAGGTGCACTGAAAAAAAGAGAATAGTTGGACCAACTTAATTGAATTATTTCAATTGGTAACACACAAATAAATTAGGTTTCCCAAATTAGGTTAACAAGTTGTATTAACACAATTGTTTTTAGTCAAATGTATGTAATAATTCAATGGGTTTCAAATCAATGGTTTGCATTACTTTAACTCAGTTTTTCCAACTCAATTATTTACTGGACTCAAAAGTAAAATACTACTCCTTTACAGCCTAAACGTATGGTTTCTTGCAAGCTCATTTTTCTAGTAACCTTTGTGTAAAATTGTACTTTGATCAATATAATTAAAATACCTGTCCTAACAATCCGATTTTAAGTTGGCTAAAGGAAAAATGACAGACTCAAATCCGATGGTTTTCAAAATGTATTGCATAAATGTAAATACACATTTGTTTACAGTGCTTTAAGAAAATACAAAATTCAAAACAAGTCACATTTGGTCTTGTTGAAATTATCACAGCTTTCTTCGCAGTCTACAATTTTTTGGAACACCACAAATAAAAGGAAGCATTTGTATACAATAAAAAAAACAGAGACAAATTGTGAAAAAATAGAACATGATAATCTTCTGGCACGTCAAAAGTGAAATGAAGGTGTTTGGGGTAAGAGAGGGCAGGGCAAAAGCTGATGCAACAGAAGTTAGTTGAAGCAAGATCTCCACGTCATCCATGCCAATGTCTTCAGGTGGCTCCTGCAGTCCTTCCCCCTCTTTCCGAATGACAAACACTGCCATAGTGATGTGCTCCAGGTCCCTCCGAGCGTCGTCTGCTCTAGAGGGACAAAATAGAATTGGCATAATTTTTCACTGAAACAAATAATGCTTTGGATTTACTCGGCCCCACATGATAAGAATGTGGATGACTGACAACATTTCCTTCTTTTTCTCAATGAATTATTACTTGTTAAACCAAAATATTTCAATCATATTCAGATATGTAAAATAATTAAGTTGAGGTAACTTATATTTTTAAGCTACTGCAACACCAATTAACTAAGTAGTATGAATGTGATTTTATCATGTTCAGGATACCTGATTTTCCACATAACAAACTTGATTTGTTAATGCTAATACTATTTAAATGTATTATGTTAATTAAAAGCAATTTTATTATTTCGTTTCAACCCAGGTTAGGTCTCTAAATTGATTTGTTAAAGCCAGCCAAAGGCATTGTAGACATCAGTTTTGTGTTGTGTGGAAATACAAAAATCAAACCCGATTGCATTGAAAAAATGTGTACTGTATTCTTCCATAAAACTTTGGAAATTACACACATACAGTAATTTTAGCATAGAAATACTAAGGTGTAACCATTATTACACCAGCAGCATTCAAAATACAAATCCCGTATTGCAGTACAACAACTGAACAGT